TTTACTTAAGTTTTTTGGTCATTAAATGTATAATTTCCACAAATGGTTCTTCAAAATGATGCAATTCTTACCCAAGTAGAAGAGTTTCAATAGCATGGTATCAGCACATGTGTTGGCTTGTCGAAATACATGTAAGTTTGTATTTTTGTTGTTGGCTCGTATTTTTGTGAAGGTTGAATACAGCGTACTATTGTATTTTGGGCTGAATGCTAAAGTTCATTCTCCGACCCGATGAATGAAGGCTAAAGCTCAATGTTAGTTGGGCCAGTCCAATACTAATGCATTTGGGTTTGTATTTTTGGGCTCTAGTTAATGTTTTGACAATTTGGGTCGGGCCTGTAGACCCAGAAATAATTTTTGGTTTTTGGTCGGGCTTTAGCCTGTAGCACCAAAGCCCAAGCACTACCCAGTCGGCAACTGCATGTTAATTGTTAAATGAAGTCTGCAAACTCAATGTTACTTATTAGTTAATAGGTCAGTCCAACACTATTGTATGGGGCTAAATTTCTCAGATTTTTTTATTCACATTTTGGGCTAGTTAATATTTTGACGATTTGGGTCGAACCTAGAGGCAATTATCTCTTCACCCTTGCATTTTTTTTAACATCACCAGATACCTTATTTTTTATGGAAAAAGAAAATTACATTATCTTGGTAACTCAAAACGAGGCTTTGGTAGGCTTATATATACACAAAACGACATTTGGAAGCATGGATTCCATGCCCAAACGCTCACACCCAGTCATCCATTCAGTTCTCATTCCGTGCTGAATATTCTTACGCATGTTCCCAGGACATTGTGCTCATCATATTTTATTTCAACATACAAGTAACTTAAGATTGAATTTATTAGTAAGTAAATATTTTTTTATAAATCAAGTGCAAGGTTAAAGTTTTGAAATTAGTATTTAAGAAAATTAATTTTTTTAAATGTATCATACCAATGCAAAATGTACAATCACCTTAAAAAGATTAATTTCAAAATATATGAAAGCTAATATGACAATATATGATCGTATAAAAAAAAAAAAACAAACAAGGATCTACATATAAATTTCATGAGAAAATCCACATATTAGTACAAAGTACATATAATATTCCATTCATTCCCAATCATATAAATATTAAACACCCTTATCCCATTAACTATCACTAGCCAGTAGCCATCTCTTTTACCACCCCAACAAGTAATAACAATTACCTAACTTCTCCTTCCTGAAAATTAAAAGAATATAAAACTAAGTTTTGATCTATTAATAAAAATAAATGTTGTTTTATAAGTCATATTTATGATTTAAATTTTAAGTACAAGTATTATTTTTTAAAAATTAAGTTTCTTGAATATACCAAACCAATATAAGAATGTACATTTAAGGTCATTCAAAAATAAACTAACCTCAAAGTGCTCCAAAGTTAGTCTAAGAATATTTTAACCATAAAATGTACATATATATATATATTTAAAAGAATATAATATAGACACCCATTTCAACAAGGAATTTCAATTTCCCAATACTTTATTCTAATAAAAACAAGTTTTTCTAACGTTGGGATTAGAACAGTCCAAAATTAAAACGAATTTCATGTTAGTGGGTGTCCATATCGAGGGATAAAAAAATGAACTGAGGTCAGTTGATTAGATTTAAATCCTGGTTCTGCATATAAAAATGAAAAGCATAGCTAGAATTTGCCGTCGCGGGGCATTTGTCGTGGTCTTGGGGTGACCAATGATTGATGAGGCTTCAATCAAGGCTGGATTTAGTGTGGATTATTGTCGTGAGGATTGACAGAATGTGAGCCCTAAAAAGCATACTTAAAATTTTAAGATTTTGGTTGTATACCTAGAGGCTGTTTCTGCTTTATTTCTTGTTGTGAAGCATTATTCCTTTTTCCCTTGATCAGAATTATTTTGTTAGGTGTCAGTTGT